TGTGAGTGTTATGATTTAGATGGTTTAAGTATACCACGAGTTTTAAATTTACTTATTTCTATAAGTAATAGTTTGTCATAGGTTTGTTTACGTAACTGCTTTCCAATCATAATTTGTCTTGTCAACTGTGTTCTAAAGTAACTGAACCGGCCTGTGTGGACTCTGAAGAAAGAAAGAAAGAAAAATAAAAAAGAAAGAAGAAGAGAAAGAGAGACAATTAAAGTAATAGTGGTGCTTTTAAAGTGAAATTATCACAGACTGTATTGTAATAACAATTGTGATAACCAACAGTGTAATTAACATTTGTTTGAATTGTTCTAATATATTACGATAAAAGTAGACTGTGTACTATTTGTTTACTGTTGAAATTTACCATCAAGTCACAGAATCTGGCTTCATACATATAAAATCGGACACTTACCGTGTCTGTTTCTGTCTGCATGGAATTTCATGAAACAAGAAACCCCCTTTTATTAGTTATTTCCAGCCTACCACAACAGTCAGTGCTATAACACTAACAGAATGCTTGTTTTTTACAAGACTTTTTTTAAAATTATGTTATATAGTCTGTATGAAATTCATCATACATCTTATGAAAAAACAAAAATTATATGTGATCTTACTATTCACAAGACCCACTAGTATCTTTTAGATCTTTAAATATTACTTATCAGCAAACCTCTAAACAATTATAAGCACATGCTTAAGATACTTTTAAGCTCATTAGTCAATAAACAAATAATGTGTTTTGAAAGTCAGATCTAAATGTAACTTATGACTTTGTCTTAAAACTATTTTAAAATCTAAATTCAATTGGCCTCCAGGATTTCTTGATATGTAATTTTGACGTTAAGCTACTTTAATGTACTACAATATTCTTCTCTTACTCTGTATTTGCAGAATGAATTCTCAACCCGTTCCCTAGTACATTACCAGCATATTCTCTTTACATGTAGTTTCATAATGCAATATCAATATCTGAAGTATGTTTCAACCATCCCACTATAACTTACATAAGGCAAATGCAAATTAAGTTGAAAAAAAAAATTAAACTTGCTAATTAGCTTCTATTTTGGTAATAAAAGTTATGTCTGATGTAATATTAAGGTAGAAAAAGTATGTATTTAAGATAAGATTTTGTCATATTGTATCTTATGCTTTTTTTCTTCAAAATGTTAAGTTATCTGGCTAATTGCTTTATATAACTGACATGCATGAGTATACATTGATATGTTAAGTAGAAGATATAATACCAAAACAAGGTGGAAAAAGAATATGCATAAATTTGGACAGTTAAGTGTTAATTTGTATTAACAATATTACTAGAGTTAAAAGATTAAATTAAGTGCCTTACTGTTTTCTTGCTCTTCTAGTAAGTGACTGAGATGAATCATCTAAACATAACAAAAACAAATAAATCATAAGTCAAATATTAAACACCAAGATAAAAAACAATTCAACAACCAAATGCAGTTTAAGTTACAAAAATTATAAGTGTTTAAACTGCATGGATTATTAACAAATTGAAGGCAGTGAATAATATCAAAAGTATCAAGTTTTCCCATAAATATAATATAAAGATGTTCTGAATGAATACCCAAACTGAAAAAAAAAAGTTAATGATGTTTTACAATTTACAACATTACTATAGTTTAATAATCTAAGATTACTTAAATCCTTTTCTGTTTGAAGAAATAGAAAATATTTATCACAGTTCACTCTACGTGGTTTAATATGATTTTTGCAACTATTATAGTTCTATGACAAGTCACCAAAAGTCCTGTCAGAAAGCTAAATATTTTTTCAAATTTGTACTTGGTGAATTTCTCAAGGAGATATCACCTACCATTTATTAATCTTATACAATTAGTCTTTTCCCCTGAAATTTTTAGTATGCTTTTTACTTAAAAATTCAAATTATAGTGTCATTGCTACAATGACCAAAGTATATTAATAATCAGTGTACTGCCACCTTTTTGTGTACATTGCCACTGTGTATAAATAGATATTTAAAACTATAATATAATGTATTCATTTTACACACACGTGTAATTTAAGATTTAATCTGTATACTATACTTCATTATTACGTTCATATTAAATAAGTTGTTAATACTACCTTTGCCTGTTCAAAAGTTAATTTCTGCTGAACTCTCTACGTTTTAAAATTATTCCCATATTAAATAATATATACATACAGATGGAGATTGTATATCTAAACAAGCTCGTCGATTTGCTTATAAATATCATATTGTTATTAGTTTACCACTAGTACTCTATTACTGTGTCTTTAGCCAGATAGTTAGGCCTAACGTCACTATGCATAAACGGAAGTTCCGTGTAGTCACAATAGTTGATTTAGACTGTAAATTGTAATATGCCTTCTTAGTCTTACCTTGTTCCTTAGCACCAACTAAATGAAGCAGATTTGGGGGTTTTTGCTTTTTAGTCTTCTTTCCTGGTCCTTTTCTGGGCTTTTCTTGGAACTTTGCTTTTCTTCCCATGATATTTTTAACCTTTAAGGTTAGATCCTTTAAAATTTATGTTTAACCCACGTGTGTACTCTTCCAAACCGTTTAGTTAACTTCTTCCACTAGGTGACTCTAATACGAAAGCGAGATGAAACAAACTGAAGAAAAAATAGATGCGTTTAGGAACCTGCTACACTTGAAATGCTTTCTGTTAAGACTTTAATAACAAAACGATGTATTACTATTATAAAAGTTATTTGTTTTTTAAACATGATGTTTTATTCCCAATAATAGTATATTTCGTTTATACATCAAGTGACCATAAGCCCAGTTTTTTTATATAAACAATCCTCATAAGCATAAGATATGTTAGTAACTAAAGTTCATATATACATGAAGAGTAAATTTCATGACACAGAATATTTTCAATCATATTGACTCGATAGGTTGTTGATACCTGCAGAGAATTTAAATTTATGAATATATTTCGTTAAGGCCTGGTATGACCTAATGGTTAGCGCGCTGAAATATATTCCGAGTGTCTATGGTTCGCTTTCCGTTATTGCAAGAAAATAAAATCACATTCTTCATTTTGGGGCCGTTTAAAATTAAGAATGGCGACATTGTTTTAAAGGAAGGACCAGAGGCATCGTTAGGCACTGGCACACGGGACCTGTACCATAAATTCCCAGCAAGTGTTTTGAAAAATCAAAATAGAAAACCATGAGTTTGTTTGTAGTTAAGCACAAGCTACACACACAGGGCTATCTGTACTCTGCCAATCACGGATATCCAAACCTGGTTACTAGCATTTTAAGTCCACAGACATGCCGCTGTGCCACTGGGGGGAGCTAAAGTAAGGAAGTAGTAAATCGTAGTAACTTTCTTTAAAAACCACAGTAGTCAGTTGAATCTTTTCCATATCCATTGCTTAATTAAATCTCTCTCTCTTATTAAAAAGAAGCAATTAAATATCTTAAGGATCATAAATGTATTGATAAAAAAATCTATTAAAGACCTTTAAAGTTGTGGAATGGTTAAATATTTGGATATATTTACTTCTTATTTTAAAGGAATAATGTTTGCTGTCCCAACTTGCAGAATATGCTTAACCACACTTTCTTGAATTTAGCCATAACTAAATATTTTGGTAATTAACCATTATTGTTCTTTGGCATTTATTTATTGTTTTAATATAAACGTTTTCTAGAAAGTGCATGACGTTAAGATTAAGTATGTTTGTAAAATAGTATTAATGATTGAGAGACTTTCCAAAACACTTAAAAAAACAGATATGAGAATCACCGAGGCAATTTTTCATTTGGTAGAATGTAAGTCATTCAGCGAAGTACTTTGATGAGTTTTTGTAAGTTATTGCTGGTATTCAGTTACTCAATCGATTGGCCGTAAAATTGTGCGAGTGCATTTGTTCGTTAGTCCTAGTAATCGTAGTACTACCACTAGTAAGTAAGTTTCTGTTGAAAGTTAGAACCTTATTTGCGAAACTAGGCCTACAAGTGATACTGATAGTATCCTTTGCTATAGATTAAGGAAGAAATAATTTGTTATCAGTACATGGGGTGAACGTAGCTTATTGACTCGTATATGTTGTTGATTCCTTTAATAAATTAATCAACATATAAGATTAAGAATAAAAGTAAATTAAGCGTTTCTATATTGGCCATATATTTTAGAATAGTAAGTAGTCAAAGGTAGTTTTTCACAAAAAATTTATATGAGTACAATATCAAGTCGGGTATGAGACTGAAAGGTAGGACTGAGGTATGCAAGCATACTAATTTCTATGCATTTTATTTTGTTTTAATTTGGACCCTTCGTGTTTAACAACAATTTTTAAGTACAAATTTAGTCATAGACTATGCCTTTCAGGTACCATTTCGGTCTCCAAACAGCAGTGTCCTTCATTGGTAGTGCAGATGACATCAAGACGTTACTACTTCATCTATGTTAAATGAGAAGTAATTTCGCTATGGATAAATGCAATACCATTAAGTAAGTAATGTTAGAGATATCCTACACAGAATTTCAAGTGAGTTGGTTGATGAGAAGAAAATCTGTTGATTGAGGTACAAGTCCAGTACATTGCAGTTGCACAGTGTCCAAAAAGTAAAGCACATATAGTATGTTTTCCATTGATTTTCATTTTGTATTACAAGTGTTAAGTCTATTTACTTCTTAGCTTTAACTCAGTTAAATTCAGAATCACTTAGTAATTTATCCTGCCGATATAAAGTGGGCCTACCTAATACTCTTAGAGTATTATTCTAAATTTAGTAGTTATTTCTGAACACAAGTAGTTTGCAGATAATATGTGATAAAGAAAGTTAAGTTTGACTTTTTTCTAGCTACATTTGTTACTTGTCATTTTATTGAGATCACACTACTTCTGCCCATAAATACATGGCTGTAATGTTGCACTTTGTGCAAGAATATAGTAATGTCCTTCAATGTTAGGTCAGGTGACATCTCTAGGTTACAGCTTACCCTGTGTTTTAATGAGAATGATCAGTCATATGGGTAACACGAGTCACAAGATAAGTCTGCCATAACCTACAATATAAGGAGCATTAAAGTCTGATAGAGGATCTCAGCCTGATCAGTTTAGAAAGACAGTTACCTAGTCAAGTAGAAACAATCATACAATGTCTATAAAGCAAATTTCTACAATGAATTTATGAATTAATAACAATTATTTACTTATGTTTTACGTTGCCTAGTGTCTATTTCGTTCTCACACATTTGGTTACACAGGGATTCAGTATGACTTCATAACAAATATCTTGTAGAATCTCCTGTTATTAAGCAGACTTACTTCATTGCCCTAAGATTAACCCAGTTTTATCTGAATATACCATACTACATTAGTACTAGTAAATTTGATCATTGATGAACATTTTGTGAAATGATAATTGCAGTGCCACCAAGAGTAAGTGCAGCAGGAATCTTATCAAATCTTTCAAAATGTAATACATTATTACAGTTGAATAATCATATTTTAATACATTTTTACTCATGCTTGTATCAGACACTGATAAATGTCTACGATAAAATAGTTATCTTTTAATGTCAATATATAGATGCACATTGTGTACTGTCAGGAGCAGTACCTCATCACATAAACAGAATTTTGGTTTTCTGGAGCAGAACTTTGTGTTATAATGTACTAGTATATTGTTTTGTCAGTTTTCAATGTTATATGCTTAAGATATAAGAATTAGCCAATTAATAACTTTGCAGAAGTAAAAAAATACTCTACTTTAAAGAAACGAAATTTAACAAAAACATTTTATATACCAACATAGTATGGTACAATACTAATAAATATATAAACATTACCTGTATAAACCAAGAATACATAACATATAGACTCAACCCACAAAACTTGTTACCTTAATGAAGTTTTGAGTCAGTCATGGTAAAGTGTGCCAGGCTGAATCAGAGTCGGTTGCCACAAAATTGAGTAATGCACTTTGGGGTCATGGGTATAAGATTGATGGCATTATCTCACTATTCAGTTAGAGGTACCCAAGAGTTGGTGGTGGATGCTATTGACTAACTACTTACACTCTAGTCAAACACTATAGCAAGTACAGAAACTTCAAGTGTTTAAATGAAAACGGTTATTCTTACGTACCAGAACTTGAAACTGAATTAATTTAAGATTGACAGTCCAATAACTCATCTTCATTAGATTTGATTTTAGTCTCACCTAAATATTTAATTTCTTTAGTAATTTTCTCATCTCGGTTTTCTACCCGTTTCCTCAGCTAATTGCTCATAGCGATAAGGCTTAGAATCCTTTACGTTTTTCTAATCTTTAAACATGTTCTAGTTGTCTGCTTTTACCATTTATCTCCTGAAACTCAAAGTTCACTTGACTTATTTGCTTAACTACTCTAACTGGTCCTTTCCATAGCTTTGCTAGTTTTTTTAGTATTTCCTTTTTTAACTATAGGTGTGTATAATAAAACTTTGTCTCCTAGCTTTGTCACTGGTTTGTTTGTTTCTCTGTGCTTGGCAGCTTTGGTTTGATGCTCATTTGTAATTTCAAACACAATTTGCATTCTCTGCATCATTTCTGCTTTGTATTCGTTACAATATTGTCGTAGATCAATTACAAGAAAAACTTAGTTTTAAGGGTTTAAGACTAATTGAGATTACAATAATAAATAGTTAGTTACTACCCTTTATTACACAATTACAACATATAATAAAATATTTATATTAAAAACAACACAATATATTGTGAAAACCAAATTAAAAAATAATTTTGTATGATTACGATATGATGCACAAAACTACACTATCTATTCAGGAATTATTTATTAGCAGAACTTTGGAAGTTCCCATTTAGAAATATTTTGTTATATGAAATCCCCCCCCCCTTTCTTGTAACACATTTGAATTGTTACTAGAAATATTTCATGGAATAACTCTACTGTAGCCTTGGTTTAGTTATTGGCTTCTGATGTACACTTGAACAAAATAATGACAGCAAACACTACATTTAATACATTATTTTATTTTGGGTGATTAACACAATATCAAAACCTAAGGGATATTTTCATATATATTTAAAAAACATGAGGAATGTAAACATTATTGATTAAAATTAATTTCATATCTTGATTCACATGACATTTCTTTGCTATACTTTATGTTTACAGTTAAACATCTTCAAAGTGCATAATTTCACGTGTATTATTGTATTAAAAATGGTTATACATTATACAAACATTTGAAACATCTGTAAAGAACATATACAATCATTTTAAATATAAATATAGAATCAGTCACTACTGTTCAGTAACTAACATACAGTCAATTTGATGATGCCTTCCATAATACTACAAGCTTGGTCAAATCATGCATGTTCCAAACTACAAGAAATAATGCTCAATTTAACCAAATGACCTTTAAGGAAATTCAAAAATCCATGGTAAAAAATGGGTAAAGACAGTAAAATGATATCCTTATGGCAGATAAATATAAAACATTTGTTTTAATTAATATAGGAATGTTTACGGCACCAATGAGATCACTGTTTAAAGCACTTGCCCATTTAGTCAACTCTACCAATACCAGTAATGATGTGAACTGCCGAATACTTGAAAAACAATCTTTTCACATCATGATAGGGCTACTAATCAGTCAATAGAAAAGCACATGAATTTAAATACAATATTTGAAAGTACTTATAAATAAGATAATAAGGAACATTAACTAAATATATAACTTTTGTTTTACTCTTACAAAAAAAAATATATATATATATATATATATATATAACCTTTTAATAAAATTCTAGCAAATATGATAAAAATTTCATGGTTCCTCCAAGTACTAAAAGTAATAAGTGAATGTATTTAAAAATCAATTACCGAATAACATATGATAAACAAGTAAAATTGTAAAATGTATGTGTAGTCTATTTGGTGTTTTGAATTTTGAACATCTTTACAATATGTACAAATTATTGAAACTGAACACAATAGAAGAAAATAATTTTATTTAAACTGGATATACATGTGGCAACAAATTAACACAGTTTATATTAGTATTAAAACCTACATATTTGACAGTAACAAAATAATATCACCAATATGGTGTAGAACAGATACCAAATATCTGCTTTAACCACCAAAAAATCTTTTAAAATACAACAACTGTGGTTGAAACAGGTAATCACTGAACATATCTATTTATAAATGCTTTGTGATCTACCACCTCTAATGAAGAAATGCATCAGTTAGTTAAACATACAAAAAAAGGGACCATTAATACTGCCCAGGTACTCAATAAAAGCACTAGTGTCTAAAAAGAATTTGAACAAAGCATCAATACACCAACTTCTGGTACAGCAACATAATAACGATGCTTGATTTCATTTCTAAAAAATTCAAACATTTAACTGCCTGAAACACAGTCTACATTAATGTTAAAAGCAATTCTGCACTTAGATTTTTAAAACTTCAGCCAACAGCTATTCAAATATTAAGATAATGTTTGTTTGTTTTTAACATAGATAGCAATGTTCCAAATTCTTTTGAGAAAATGATTATTATTACTATATTTTTTGTTTAAGATTTAGTAGAAAAAGCTGATATATTCACACCTTTTTTTTCAGTTTTTGGTATTTTCTACCAGAATGGAACTGTATGCAATAGTTGGCCAATAAAACCAGTCAGTAACCTTCTAGTGTTCAGGTATAACCATTCATAATTTTGAACTACTGACCAGGAGGAAGTCGCCAGTCAGTAGCACATGCTGCCACAAAGGCTTTAATAAAATAACTGAATTGAACATCATTCTTATAATTCATCCACAGCTAAAAGTATTTAAACTGTTCCATAGTATTTCAGGGCAAACCTTGGACTTCCCAATTCATAGATCAGCAAGCTAGCTACTACGCCACACAAAGTTTTCCTCTTTTCTTATATTATCTACTCTGATATAATTTTAAATACACTAAGATAAGCAAGCAGAAATAAAATCATTTTGTATTAACAGGTTTCAAGTTAATTAATAACATAAAAGAGGAATGTAAAACCAATATATGGTTGCTGCTGACTAAAATATTCACAATGTCTTTACAATCACAAAATATATCCTCATACATTAGGTAATAAAAGCTAAAACAAATTGATGACAGGATGAAAAGAGATCTTTTAAGAGTTGTCTGTTGTTATTAGAGAAACTTTAAATATTACTAATACCAATGAGATCTAAAACAATGGGGGTGGAATACATTTATAAGGTATAAAAACTTGACCATTTATTCATCAATGCACAATATTCAGCTAAAGAAAGTTCCTCCACATAGGCATCATAATGACACATTCAACTACAGCAAAAACATTATATGAAAATATGCAGGGCTTTCCTCTGCAGAATTATAAGTTTAATCTGTATGTAAAAACTAATTAAACTGGTCTGGTCAGATAAACTTATGACAGAAGCACTACAGCAAAAACATTATATGAAAATATGCAGGGCTTTCCTCTGCAGAATTATAAGTTTAATCTGTATGTAAAAACTAATTAAACTGGTCTGGTCAGATAAACTTATGACAGAAGCACTACAGCAAAAACATTATATGAAAATATGCAGGGCTTTCCTCTGCAGAATTATAAGTTTAATCTGTATGTAAAAACTAATTAAACTGGTCTGGTCAGATAAACTTATGACAGAATCATCTTTTATCATTCTACTGAAGACACGAGATCTATGTAGATTTTTCAGACTCTAGGATAGATCAACCACAACTGAAATAACTACACAGCTACACATAAAGATATTACAACTTTCAGTAATCCTGAAATACGCATCACAAACCTAGATATTCTTTACTATGCTTAACAACTTTTGTGAAACTAGTTTAACCTATAGTTATTTACATGTAATAACAAATTCTATCTAAAAATTAAGCTGTAGAAACATTGACCTTGAATTGGCATCAAAGATAAAATTCTAAATAAACTTGCATGTCTTGACACATCTGTAATTCTATCAAGCACAAAAAGGAAATTAAATACAGTCTCCATTTCAGAACTACAGAGTCACATACATAGTATTAAGTTCAATTAAGTCTTATACTAAGGCCCTAAATTTATTTATAGTTTCATATACAAAGATTATAAAATGTGTTCATAAAAAATATTCACGAACATGTGTACTTTGTATATTAAATAAATTTTTCATGAAATTTTGTAAGCATACCATAAATACACAGTTTTCTTCCTTTTTCCAACAAGAAATCAGATGGAAGTGATTTTCATTAGTTTCTTCTCAGTAGGAGCTTTAATTTTTCACTTATAATAAAAGGTATTCACACAATTACCAAAGTCACACTTTCAAAGACAATTTTTTGTTATCACAGACAAAATTTTTTGTGATAAAACCATTGTTAATCAAGAGCATCTGGGGGTAGAAAAATATTTTTTTTTTTATTGATATCAATTATGAAATACTGTAGCCGCTTTCTTGATTACATCTTAAAATAAGAAAAAAATCTTGTAGGAATAGAAAGTTAAAAGAATGTTAATTATACAGCAAAACCTAATTTCAACTCCTCATATGTGTCTGAAAAGAGATACTACAATGTCTCAACAGAATTTTCTACAACAGTATTGGCAAGTTTATGGTAAACACGATGTTGAAGAAATCTGGCATAAGAAAAAAAAATTTTGTGGCATATATTACAACTCTGAAAACTGGACGAAGATTCTCCATCATCTCGGTCTTGAACTTCTGATTTTAATTTCTTTTGTAAGCTTATCTCTCGTTTAATAAGCAGCACTGAAGTTTCTACTGGCACTTTGGTGAAAACAGGACAACAACCATGAAATAAAGCACTGTTGAATTCTACTTTCTTTCGCCAATCAGCAACTTCAGTTTTAGATAGTTCTTTGTTTTTCTTTACTGGACATAAATCATTGACATGTTTCCAATAATTCTGTAAATTTGTCATAGATACTTGACATGCTTCACAGAGATATTGGGGAGGTTCGGACAGCTCCCCAAATGTTTTTGTTTGTCTGTGGTTTTGTACAGGTCTGTCTGATGATGCTTGGAATACTTCAGTAATCTTTCTTTCAATAATTTCACTACAGATTAATAACAAACGTATAATAAACAAATACACATTGCTAATAAATCTGAAAAAAATATTCATATGAATTATACAAGACTACTGTTGGCTTTATACAACCTGTAGAAAAATTCTACAATACATGGGATTTAAGTGTGTTTTTTTTGTGTGTGTGTGGGGGGTGTTTCTGAGATCAATAACACATGTAGGTCTAAGTATGCCATGAATCGGTAGCATTCCAGTACAGAGTACAAAGCAAAGTTCAGGTCAGATTGAAGAAACACATTAGCAAACAGGAGAGACTATTAAACTATAATGCCATGTTCAGCAGTTTTTTAGCACTAGCTTTAATTTCTTGTGACCCAGGAGAAGTTCCACTAATAGCACTTTAAATTTCATTACAATCTCTTATTTGTAAACATAGCTCACTACACTTTAATATCAAAAATCATTTAAAATAATCCTGTCTAATCTTATTAATAAAGGCAATATAATTCTAGGAACCAATGAGTAAAAGGAAAGGAGATTATTTTATAATACGTCAACCAAACTACATCTGCTATATCTAGTGTCGAAGAGGCTCTTTTTGTATAATACCAGGGCTAATCAGGCCAGCTGGGATACAACAGACATACTGGTCTAAGCACTAGATATAACATCAACAAGATTAAGCAAGTGAATTGCAATTATTGTAAATTTTATTTAAGTCCTTTACAAATCAGATTTTCAGGTACAAATTAATAACACGTTATTTATTTGAACACTATTTATTTAATTATTTTCTAGTGTTTCATAAGACTTAACTTTACTATCATTCACACGAACCAGCAAACTTGTCTTCATGTTCATGGAACGGGTCCTGTAACCACAGTGTCAACAAGAGAAAATATCTATATATATATATATGAATTAGCCAAATATCTGTTTGTCTGTCATCTCCTTATCAGTTAATAATACAAAAAAAATTAACAAAATGCTTATTTTCAAGAGTACATAACAGGAAAATTATCTTGCAATTGCTAAAATTTCATATCGATATCAATATTGATCTGTCAGTCTTCATATGTGCTGAACAGTCAATCTGAGAAAGAAACTTAAGAACAAAAATGTTTTTTTTTTGTGAGAGAATTTCATGAAAAAAACAGGACTTCTTCAGTTGATTGACTGAAAGAAATATCTCGAAGGCAGCAACATGAATAGAAAAAACGTATAAAGAGATGAACATGTTTGAATATATATTTGTTGTTGTTTTCCCCCAATGTAGGTATTATGCATGTGCATGATTTTATTCTACCATGTTGAACAAATTAAATTGAATATATCCCCTCTGGCACTTATTATAGAAATGACAACTTCAAAAAGCACTCACTTTGGTAGCAATCTTTTCTTGCACTCAGTAAAATGAAAGATACATCAGAAAAGATACCTGCAGCTACTTAACAAACCTGAGTGCTCTATTGTGCTTGATGCACCCATTGTACCTAAACCCCAAACATTTTGGCCAACAATGCATTGCCATCAGTTTCCTTTATTTAAAAAAAAACACAATGCAATTTTACTTCTTGAACTAACACATGATATGGCAAAAGATGGTTGTAAATAACCTACTGAATAATCATATTCATATATGTTCTCATCCAAGGGATTGTGCTGACTGCACATTTTACATTTATTCACCATTATTTTTAGAAAAATTATTATTGAATTATTTCAACAGGCATCTGCCAGTTACATAAATAATTCTAAAAATGATAAAGTTACTACAGCTCAATAAAAGTATCTCTGAGTGGGTTACCTATTCTTGTTATCAAAAGGTGTAATTAAGAAAATTTTAGGTGAATTAAAGATAACCAACAACCAAATATTTGAAGACACAAAAATGTATATGTACTGATTTTCCTATAAATATGGAAAAAGTACATAAAACGAATACAGTAATATTAAATACAAGTCAAAGAAGACTGTTCCTTTGTACAGATCTCTGATTAGACCTCATTTAGTGTATCATGTTCAGTCATTGGCTTTTTACTTTAAGAAGGCACCGAGTTGTTGGAAAGGGTTCTAAGAAATGAAACTAAGATAATTCCTGGGGGTGGAGAGTCTTTTACTTGAAATCAGGACAAGTTAAGGTCCTTAAAATTTTCCCTTGAGAAAAGAAGGATGAGTTGGAGGGTATATAACCGAAGTATTCAAAATTACAAACAAGAAGAGTTAATATTCATTCAACATTTTTGTTAATGGTAAGAGTGGTATGACTAGAGGACACAGATTTAAGATTTGGCAGGGTTGAAGTTACCTGCACATTTTTAACAGGGCTTTCAAACTTTGCAGTATACTGCTTTTCAACATGGTAGACAGAATTAGGACTGTTCAAGACAAGGCTTTACGAGTATTTGGGTAGTCAGAGTTGGATATAGGTAAACAGCTGTTTGATGAAATTAATGGACTAGCCACAATGGGCCAAGGGAACCTATTATTAAATATCTCCTTTATAAATGAACCATGTTATCATCAATATATTCTTATAAATATATATAGCCTTCTTGTTATTACCAATCCATGGAAAAAAAATTACTTATGCTCCCAGCTAGACACAGTTGGTTCCAAGCAAGTTATTCAATATCTTTGTTTATATTTTCTGAGAGTGATTTTTGTATCTTTTTCTTTACTCTGCTACACAGTGTTTGAGCAATTCTAAATTCTTATTGATTCTACCTATATAAAGTATTAATAGGAATGTTTAAGTGATAGTAAAAAAGAATGTCCAATAACATCAAAGTTTTTGCTCAATATCAAGGCTCTTCAGGCTGGGAAGAAGAAGAGAAACACATAATTATAGTATTTTGGCACTTGTGGATGACGTTGTCACGTCAAAACATGAAGAGTCGTCAAATTTTTGAAGCCCATAGATAGGCCTAAATAAAATGTTTTTAATTGTGTACCAGTTTAACGTTGAATATTATTTATGGTTTTAAGACAGACACAGTAATGGTTGAGATACTAATTATATTAGCAGATTGCACGAACAACTGTTTTAGTGTGAGTTGGTAAAGTGTAATTTTCATCAATTGTTACGTATGTCACAATGCATTAAAATCATGGTAAGAATCTTTTAACACACTGTTATTTATTTTAATACCATATATTATTTTCTTGAACTAATCAACTAATTATTCAGAAGAACTGGTAAACCAGAAAACTAGTTTTCCTCAAAACATTAAGCAGAAAGTTTCTATTGCAGTGAACATTTAAAATAAAAGTCAATCCGCCTACAATATTAACAAGAATCATAATCTTACCTATGTTCTGACTTACAGATGCTTTGATTTTTTGTTTCTTTGTTCTCAGCATTGTAGCCACGTCTATCTTGACTTTCTCTATTTCTAGCACTGTTACTGCCTTGCTTTTCCTCAATTTTCTCTTTATTTATCACATTATATCGGGTTTGTTTAACTCTCTCTCTGTTCCTAAAATTATAGACTGTTTGTTTCTCTCTAATCTTTCTTCTATTTTTACCACTACAGGTGGCCTGTTTCTGTTTAATGACTCCTCCATTATGACTAATTTTCTCCTCCCCGCTATCCTCTGTGTGCTCCGAAGTGTTTTTACACCTCATCTCTGGAATCTCATCTTTGTTTACTGCATCTAATGTGGTCTGTTTATTCATAACCTCTCTTCTCAGTCCATCATTGAAGTTAGTTTTTCTTCTTCTCGATGAATATTTCCTCCATAATTCTCTCTTCTTTTCTTTTAAAACTCTAATCTTGTAAGGCATTATAGTTTAGTATCTGATGTATTATGATACACATAATCCAAAAGTAAATATTTTGCTTGTAATCACTGAAAAGTATGAGACTACATATTAGTACTCAAATATAAGTTTTATGATAAAACCATCATTAATTCCATCAGTGATACTGTAATTAAAAATGGGAAGGAAGACAAAATAATTCAGAATATTAACACAAAAAATCATTAGGACAAATAACTATAAATATAAACTGTCTTCATACAAAACAAATATGTTAGGCGAAACTATTCTAATTCAAACTTAAGTTCACAATCTTAGGTCAGACACTACTTTTATAAATATAGAATTAGCTGAGATGTTAATTAACAGGAATAAACTGTTAAGAAGTATCCATAAGTGAGTTTATCGTCCAGTGCAAAGAAAAATTCTGAAGTAAGCAGTACACCAATAGTCTTTCAAAAATTACCAATTTTTGGTACACCTCAAAAGTTTCCATGATTGAATAACTTATTTCTCCAATTTTGTGCAATGATGTTTAAAATAATTATAATAGCATCATTTTACATTCATGGAAAATTATTAAATGTACATGACTATCATGCAAATTTTAATAACTACAACCCATCTATAATTCTATGAGTTATAATGCAACAGAATATTTCAATATTTTTTTTCTACTTTCCACAGTAAGAAATAGAAAAAACAACAATTGAGACTAAATAATTGCTTAGGAATCTTGATCAGTCAAATTGACTTGCAAGAGATTACTAGGCTTAAAATATTGAAAATCAGCTAAGCTTTCAATTTACCTATTAATAATGTCATAATTGTCTCATTTATACTATAGAAAAGCATACTATAAAAGTATCCATGCAGTAGCCTAACATTACGCTCAATCTATTCCACGAAGAAATCAAAGTGTTTAGTGTTATATCACCAAACTTTACTTGTGTACTAACAATATCATTACTATATATATAAAGAGCAAAGACCCAAGGTTGTCCCATGAGGTACTCCACTAGTAGTTGTAGTAAAAAAATATTTCCTATAGGTATGGAACCAAACCTGCAGATACTGCAAAATGTAGGACTAGTAGTCCAGTACTCTAAAGTTTTAAGCCCATCCCTTAGTAATAAATGTATACAATTAAACTATCAACAACCATTTAATCAAGAAAAATATTTAGTAGTAGTAGTAGAACAAAGTTAAGACAGTTTGATTACATAATTCATATTAATTGTTGAAACTTAAACTCCAGTAACAAATGACCAAAGTCTGTTTTTTCTTTGATGAAAATAGTCCACTGCGCTAAAAACAACCATCGATGGAAAGTAAGAACTAAAAATATAGAAAGGTCAGTATTGTTTTACTAAAAACTCAAGTAATACATAAAAATTACGACCAACGTTTCTTACAATACAAGTTGTATTACAAAGTACATTTGAACATGATTTTAGTTACATTTTTCATCTAAGATGAACTCCACGTCGTTTCACTGAAACAATTTTACCTTGAAAGTTAAAAAGGAAACCACCACACATTAATTCAGGTCAATTTACAATTAAATTTTTCTACACTTCCAGACTTCGGTACGTTCTACATTATTATGATTTTACCTTTAAATTAAAGTATGGCGCGTCCTCTAACGAGCATGAGAAATTGCACTAAACATTTTAGTATTTTTTATTTTACAGTTTCGTACCATATGAGTTATAATTTATTTGATTTGCTACCACTATTACAAGTTTCATACTACACACAATACAAATATCTCATACGTAAAAACCATTTGTATTATTTCAAAGAAATTATTTGTAGACAATAGTAGAGGGGAACCATATTTACTAATGGAGTCTTTGTTTCAGTTTGTTTGTTTTGAATTTCGCGCATAGCTACACGAGGGCTATCTGCGCTAGCCCTTCCTAATTTAGCAGTGAAAGACTAGAGGGAAGGCAGCTAGTCATCACCACCCACTATCAACTCTTGGATTACTCTTTTACCAGCAAATAGTGGGGTTTATGCACATTATAACGCCCCCACTGCTGAAAAGGCGAGCATGTTTGGTGGGACGGGGATTTGAAGATTGCGAGTCAGGTGCCCTAACCACCTGGCCATGCCGGGCCTTTGTTTCAGAATTTCAAGTAAAACTACACGAAGGCTATCTGCGATTAGCCTTTCTTAATTTTGAACTAATATACTAGAGGGAAGGTACTTAGTCCAGTGCCAACTCATGGTCAACTTTTGTTTAATCGAATAGTAGGTATTGACCGTTACTTTTTTAACACACCCACGTACATCTCCAAAGTACATATATTTTTTGTGTGTGGTAGTGGGATGTGAACAACAGAATCTCATTGGGCCGTGACCGACCTTAACAAAATATGTTAATGCCAATGACGTACACGGGTTGGCTGGGTGGGCTCAAGTCCCTGCCCTTATGCCCCAAAATTGCTCTTTTTATCTCAGTCATAAAAATTGTCAACAACTACGAAAATATACACCTTGCTTGCTGTGAGTTATTAGGAAAGAAAAAAGATTTCAGCTTCAAAATAAATCGAACACAAGGTCTTATAGGAATTTACAGTAAAACAAAATAATAAATGTAATATGCCAATGCGCAAAAATTCACTGTTTAATTTTAGATCATAAAACTGTTTATAAAACCAATTGATTAGGAATAAAAGAGAATCTAATTTCCACTTATGGATTTTTATGTGTGCCAGAGGCAACCCACACTCCCCCTAATCTTCTATACCCCCAAAAAAGCTTACTTTACGATGTTGAAAACTGTCTTTTTATGTTAATAAGCGCCTTCCCTTTTAATGTCCTCTGCACATTCTGATTAATGCACGTAATTTCTCTACATTTATTTTATTCCAATCATTCAGGTCGTTCCCCGTTGAGACAGCAGTGAGTTTATAGACTTACATTGCTAAATTCAAGGGTTTGATTCAGTACAGTGAAAAAATATAGATAGCCCATTGTATATCTTTGTGCTTAAAAACAAACAAGCAATTATTCAAGCGAACTGAATTAAAAATATTACATTGACATATTTAGTCCCTCTCTTTCTCTACACACACGTATAGTAGTTTGTATAGACTAACCAACTGTGAGCAGCTTCTTCATCTGCGGATCATGTCTTTGTATTAAGTATTTAGACATGCTTGAGCTGCAACGTTAGGAGCATGCCAACTTGAATCTAAGACATTACAAAAATATAAATATCCATAATTATCGAAGTAATCAAGGTAAGATAAAAAATGAAGAACGCCAAGCCTTTCGAATTTCAAAAATTCAACCTGATTTGTTACTTGTCCTAAGTGTGCTGTATTCTCAAGTTCACTAAATTCTGTGATCTTGACTAATTCGAAGCAAAGAAAAAGACTAGACACAAGATTAAGCTTAGCGAAACAATCTTTAATACATAAACACAATCAGAGTTCTAAAGAGCAAGTATATTGTGGCACATTTATTAGAATGTGTTTAAATCCAATCAATGTGTATTTCAATTTCCAAATGTCTGATGGTATTCTCTTTATTATCCTTTTCCAGACTGAGAAAACGTGGCATAATATATGGAAACAACAACGTCACTCTTCTCGGTACACTGTTGCCACCAACGTGACTGACGGTGAATGTTACAATAAAAATAAGGAATGCTCTATCTCTGAATCACCCCTAAACTAGCCAGTAAAAAATTCACTGTCATTATCTATGCATTATGCGCTATGTTACAGCAATCTTACCTAATATGTAATGCCCTAGGTGACTGACCCAATTCCATAAGCAATCTTTTGGACAATTTATTAAATTTCTTACCAAATTTTGGACACGTGGCTAAACTAATTGTGGACACATGATTAAATTTCTAACCTGATTCTAACCTCATGGTTGTCCACTGGGTTCAATTCCACACGGTGGACACAGCAGTTTGCCCAATATGGATTTGTTCTAAAACAAATAAACAAGACTCAGTTAAATTTCTGATCTAATTCTTGACGCATAATTAGATTTATTCTAATCTGATTATGGGTACATGGGTAAATTTCTAATCTAATTCTGAACACTTTGTTAAATTTCTAGCCTAATTCTAGACATATGGCTAAATTCTACAGTGATTCATTAAATGAGGCGCATTTCATACTTAGACAAAACCCAAATTAATCATTGATTTACTTTGACATCTTGGGCAATATTTTTTGCAATATAGGACTTTGTCAAGATTTTCTTTCACAAAGAGAAAAATTGTTTAATGGTTTTCTCTCTTTCAACCCTGGCATGATGTTATATATACACTGAAAAAGTTCTTAAAATCAGGTAGTGTAGTTAAAACAATATAGGGCTGGGGGCCGTGTACCCCCAAATTTCACTCTGGTTTACCCAAGTTCATTCTCCCTAGCTGTTTAAAATCGCGTGATTTTTTAAAATTTCTAAGAAGAGTCAACAAAAGTTTTGTTTTAAAATCCTCTAATTATCCACATGGAGCTTTTACTTATGCTTTGAATGTACTTACAGCTTTTGAATTTTTTTTTAATATCAGATTCTGTCCAAACGTAGCTTATTCAGAATTTTTTTAAGTTGTATTATTAATTATTCAGTGAGAGTTTAAGTCTAAATATTTAGTATTAAAACGATAGAACACGTTATAACTCTGGTTCTAGAAGTAGGATTATTTTAGTTAAAATAAAATAAAAGTTTGAGTAAGCTTTGAATATGATTATCCAATTACGAAGCGAGATCGAAACTTTACTATAGATGGTGAAACAATTAAAAGAAAGCCAAGGGGAAAGAGGATAAAAGACCTAGAAGAAAGAGATAGACAAATTAAAGAAGAAGAGCAAGAATGAAGAAAGAGGAATTTCAGATAAGAATAAAAAGAAAGGTACATCATATCTAAAGAAGAATCAAGAACAAAAATAATTATGATTGAAGACAAAATTGATGAAGCTTTTGGAGATCTCCAGAAGGATTACAATAAAATACTGGAAAAGTACAGAAAGGCTATGATAATAAAATTGGAGAACAAGAAGATATCAACAAAGTACATAAAAATTGTAATAAAAAATCGAAGTTGAAAAAGAAATGAGTGACAAAATAAGACATTTCGAAAAAGAATAGGTAAATGTAAAGATTAAGTCATTCACACCTCTTTCAGCATCTATCCAAGAATTACAATCTAAAACACCATTTAAGTATGGAATATGATAACTTATTTCGTCTACACTTTTATCACTACTGCTGCACCATCTGTGACTGCAAGACCTTTCTTGACTACTTCAACCATGATACTATCGAATCAACTTCCTGAATTTAGCTGGCTAATTCAACAATACTGCTCAATATAGAAAACTGGCTCAGTTTAAAATAATTTCAAGAGTGAACAACAAACTACTAATGTCATTACCCATTTATGACGACCAGGTTTAATGACATTAAATATTCTTTCAGATGAGTGTCATAACAACTACCAAGCATTGGTAACTGCTTTATCCAACAGGTTTGGAGTGACACACCAAAAAGAAGTATCCATAACAATATTCAGAACAGTGAACAAAGGAAAGAAGAGACCTTAGCCAAACAATTGGAAGATATGGAAAAGTTTGCCCGGATATCTTATTTAGATTTTCCATGTGAAATGATGAATGTGTTGGCACATAATCAATTTATAGATGCTATAACAGATGAAGGTGTTCAAATTAGGCTGAAGCAAAGTAGATGTACATCTTTAAAGGAAGCTCTTTAGTTGACAATGGAACTTGAATCCATAAAAGTTGCAGATAAAGAACTAAATGCACCACCTAGAAGTTACAGGATCATCAGATCAATTAGTAATTGAAAGATGAATTGTCTCTGACGATAGTGTAGAAGAACTGAAAATCATTAGTTAGACAACAAGTTACAGAAAATGGAGAACATAAACCAAAAGACAATAAGTATATGAAGTATAACTTGAGAGAACATTTTACCCAGAACTAAACAAAAAAGTCTTTATGAAATAAGAATTCCACTCAAAGGATACCAGAAAAAAGAAGGTACATTGATGTGAAGAGCAATTGAACATAGAGTACCAGCAAGAGGAAAATTGGAAATTATCCTGCTGCTGAAAGTCTCTCTACACCTCCTGATGTTTGGGCGATTTACATCCAGGAAGAGTGTATAGTGGGAACTGACTTAATGTGGAAATATGGATGCAAGATTAGTTTAGTTTCGAAAAATTTCACAATCTTTCCAGTACACGAGAGGTTGAACTTCCTATGACAAAAAGGATGGCAGCCATTGTATCACCAAGAAGTGAAATGCTTCTACCAGAACTTATCAGAAATAAATTTGTATCTATTGACTGAGATACAGTTGAACCAAACACCTCATAGTGACACAATGGACTAGTGGTTTGAAGAACTGTCATGGATCTGAAAAATAAAATGTCTTGATTAGTGCAATGAAAACATAAGTTTGAGTCAAGTCTGGATGCGACAATGCAATATGTAAATCTGTATAAGTAGTACTTACACATCAAAGAACACAGAAGTAGTCCCCTTTGAGGCAAAATGTAGAAGTATGATATCAAATTCTCACATAAGGGTAACTTACCACCTTACTTACAAGAGCTGTATGACTGAAGCTGTGAAGGTTTTACATCTAACCACTGTCAGAGATTACATAATTTTTTAATGGAATATCAAGATATATTCTTCAAATGGATTTCATGACTTTGGCCAAACAAATAAATTATCCCATAAGATTGTTACTCAAGATGCAGTATCAATATGTCAGTTAGCCAAAAGACTTTCAGTTGCAAAACAGGCTGAAATTTTCAAAGAGATGGACGCCATGAAGGACCAAGAAGAGCTTGGCATCACCTATTGTACTTGTGAAGAAGAGTTATTGATCCATAAGGTTATGTGTGGATTACTGGAAGATGAATGAAGCTACAAAGAAGGATGTATACCTATTGCAAAGGATTGATTTTACTATAAATGCTTTATCTGGATCTAAAGAGTGGATGAGACTTCATAAAGAAAGTAGAAAGAAAACTACTTTACTGCAGGAAATTGACTGTGGCAGTTTGTTCTGTTACAATTTGGATTATATAATGCACCTGGTACATCTCAACAATTAATAGAGCATGTTATGTCTGAACTACCATAGCGTTTTGCACTTATCTACTTTAATTATAAATGCGAAAATTTTTGATAGTTGAGGAAAGAGAAACGTAAGCTTAATTCCAAGAAGTGTGAATTGTTCTGTCAATAAACAGTTTCTTGGGATTCACAGTAAGCAGAGAGAGACTGTGTGTGTACGAAGGGCTAAATAAAGCTATGGATTAGTTGAGGAAAGAGAAACTTAAGCTTAATTCCAAGAAGTGTGAATTGTTCTGTCAATTTCTTGGGATACACAGTAAGCAGAGAGAGACTTGTGTGTGTACCTACAGATCCATCCAAGATTGAATCTGTCCATAATTGGCCACTACTGAGAAACTTGTGTGAGGCTACTTAAAAATCTAACTATGTTTTGTTGGACTGGTGATTGTAAACAAGCATTCAATAACTCGAGGAAAGAATTGACTACTACTCCCGTATTAGCATACTCAAAATTTGAACATACACTCTTTTTAGAAACAGATGTTAGTGATTCTGCAGTTGAAGAAGTGTTTACCTATTACTACAAAGCAATAAATACTGCAGAAAGGAGATATTGTAGAACTCCATAAGATATATTAAGTGTTTTCGAGCCCTAAGTAATTTCCATTATTTCTTGTATGGGTAAAAATCTACACTCAGAACAGATAATGCAACACTGAAGTAGTTGCTGAATTTTTGTAACCCAGAAGGCCAGAAAGCAAGATGGCTGAAGAAACTTCAGTAGTACAATTTTAACATCATGCATTGCCCTGGATGGAACCATGGAAATTATTACACATGCGCCCCAAGGCTTTTTATGTCAGAAATGGAAAGTTATCAGTGGACAGAAATAACGACTACAGTTGGTACTTTCACAATCTCTACATTCTGAATCACCTCGTTATCTCCACAACATTCCAAAAGCTGGACATATCCAGTGAGCAATAAAATGTTTTTATCGGATCGAATGTGGGGGATCTCTGTAGAACTGGTGTAAAAAGTCTGAATAATGCTATTGGCGAGAAGGTCCATGAAATAAACAGCATGTGTGAGTACAGTAGTATTGTTTTGGATCACCATGTGATAGAGTTTTTGTCAATGTGCTTAGTTCTGTGCCACAAAATAACAGTTGGAATAGATGATGCTAAATTTAAAAAAATCATAATAGTAGTCCTAGAATACCTAGAAAATTTCATGATGATGCAATAATCTAGAAATTTTATGGAATTTGAAAAACAGAGTATACTACAAATACAAGTAATCACTATGTGAAGATTCAATAGTTGTTTTTTGTAAATAAAATTCAGTGAAGTACTTAATGAGGGATTCATTTGAGAGTCTATAGGAAGAGTTATAGCGACTATTAAGTTAATATATCGATTAGCAAAGAAATTCTGTAAGTAAGTTTATTTGTAACTGTAATTTAATCATACCACTGAAAGTGAATGTAGCCTGTAGCAAACGTTATTCGTTCATTATCGTTACGTGGACTGAACTTGGCATTAATTTTTACCAAATAACCCATAAAAACCTGTCCAATGAAAGAATATGTTACAACAATAAAAATCGCTTATACTCATTTTTAGTAACTCGAGTTAATCGGTGAAATGGTAGTCTCATATTAGGACACTTTTGAAATCTTGTTGTATCATTGCTTAACACAAAATATCGTAAACTGAGAAAATTCAAAGAGAACAATTATGTTACTTATGTAATTTGACAACCAAAATCACATTCATGTTACAGACATTTTGATTAAATACTGTTATATGTATTAAATAAATTATCAGGTGAATTCAATTTACTTTTTTTTATATGGAGGATAAAACCGAATCCCTGTGGCTTGCATTTTGTCTTTTAAAGTCTTCTTCTGATGTACTTATGAGTGTAGGTAGTGACTTTTAATTATTTTTTACTTGTGTACTTTTTATCCTAGATGAATTATTGTCAAAGAAATATTAATATTTATTTAAATTTTTTCTTTTGTAGCATAGTGACCAAATTGGTAGGCGACATGCCTCAGCAATATTATGCATAAAGTTAATATCCCAGAATACCTCGCGTTCATGTCAGTCGTTGACTAGTTGGCGGTGTTAAGAGAATGAACACACATTTGAAATTATTTAGAAGTATGAATTATTGATTTTTTCTCCAATAAAACTATCCACAATTTTATAGGTTTGTTTCATATCCGGAAAATAGTGAGGTAATACCTAACTTCCTAAGGTCAGGATTGAGAATGTTCGAAAGCTGAGTTAGGCCTAATGATAAAAAAGGGATTAAAAAAAAAGTAGGCTTAGCAGGCATTAGGATACAATGAAAAGTGTACAGGTTGTAACTTGTAGTAAGTATAAGTATACTGTATGTGTGTATAGTCGTAAGAAGGGCAGTGGATCTTCAGTGAAAATCTAATACTATTAGTAATACCAATATTTATTATTAATACTAATCTTTATACTATTAGTAAAGATAGTTTACACTTTTAGTTTTACACAGAAACCATTGTTCAGCCTAAGTTGTGTGAATGTACAAAATGAATTTTATAAAATTATGGTTGAGAGTGAACTGACCTTTGAAAAACACATTTTTATTGGTTTTACAATTTTATTTTTAAATATACCAAAGAAAATGGTAGTTTTTATTCAAATTAAAAAGGAAAAAAGTAACAATTACTGTGGACGTTTTCTGTTTACAGTCTGATTATGTCTAAATATGTATGCTTCTTATTATTCTCTAGAAATAGTAGAATTAAAAAATATCTTTCTACTGAATGTTGTGCACTTTTACTTTTAGAATAGTCTGCAAAATTTTGTTTAAGCTTTGTCGATATTTGATTATAGACCCATATTCTAGGCCACATTTGGAATATTGTGTTTAGTCTTGGGATCCTTACCTTAGGAAGGACATTGAATTGTTGGAAAGGGTTCAGAGACATGTTACTAGAATGGTGCCTGGGATAGAGGGGTTGTCATAAGACAAGAGACTGAAATCTCTCAAATTGTTTTCTCTTGAAAAAATTAAAATTAGGGGGGAGGTATTTAAGATTATAAAGGGAATTGGTAGTGTTGATATATCATCTTTTTTTATATTTAACAATGAGAATAGTAGGACTAGGAGACACAAATATAAATTTTGGAAAGGTAGGAGTCATCTTCAGCTAAGAAAGTTTTATTTCTCTAACAGGGTGGTTGGCCTTTGAAATGGGTTGCCTTCAGATGTTGTAGAGGCAGTACATTTAAGTGAGATTAAGAAAAAGCTTTAAGTATATGATTGAAAGAGGCTGGGTATGAAATCTTTTTTACTTTATTTTTTGAAATAATTTTAATTTAGTCTTGAGGATGGAACAGCCAAGATAGACCAATAGGTCCCATGTTGTCCCAAAATATTATGTTATGTTATGAAGTGTTCCAGAAAATTTTATATTCTTGAGTATCACTAGTTTTTGTCCAGCAGTTAAAAAAAAATTGCAAATATGTCAAGAGGAAATCTCAGTTTGCAAAGTTCTGAAAATGTAAAACTTGCTTTGAAATATCTTTTAAAAATAAAATTCTATTTCTTGCCACTAATTGAAGCAACTCTTAAAAAATCAAGCACATGATGCAGCATTGAACTCTGAACAGCATTTGAAACACAAGTATTTATTCCCCATAGCCAGTGGATCCTTTCACTTTCAGCATAGTATCTCTTGCAAATTTTATGATATATATACCAGCAGTTCCCAACCTTTTCACTACCAAGGACCCCATGTTTTTTAAAAGATTCCATCTACCCAAAAAACTGTTTTTCTTACCAATAATTAACTTGTTTTTCCATTTTTCACTATCGATTAAAAGACATATATAACTGAGTGTGCAATTAAACAAACAGCAGAATTAAAAAACTTGCTTGTTTAATGAGATGTTATTATCTTCACGGATCCATAGGGGTCTGGGGACCACTGATATATACTAATCTTGGTGCTAGTGGCATGGACCTATGAATTCAGTCTGCATGTGTTTAGCCAATGCAATTAATTAGTTCTTTCTAGTTATGGATTATTTATTTTTGAAAGTGTGCCACATCAGCATGGAATGAAAGAGATCGTTGAAAAATAATAATAATAAAAAAACATCCTCCCCTTCACGTGGTCACTCTTTTTTTTCAGTATGCATACCTCATCTCAGTACGAATGTCATCCTACTGCTTCCAGCTTTTTCTCATGTCATTATTAAACATAACATGCTTTACAATGTTATGAAATCTATGAGATAATGTTTATAATATCAGTATCTTGAGCTGCATATTATTTCACTGTGTGACTTTCTTTTACTTTAAGGCCTAGTTGAAGTGACTTGTTTTGATGTAACCCACTAAAATATGTGAAATCTCTCCAAAAAATGCTTGAGCAAAAAATTCAAAATAATCTATAATATATGTTTAGTTTGGCTTTCAATACACCCAGGTCATCACTGAGTTACCTTAAAAGAATTTAACATAATGAATCAGGAACTAAGCTGAATTTAATTTAATTTTATAACACACGAATAAAACTGAAAAGTGAGTGTGCCAGCCTGCTTTTTCTGTAATATTGCTTGCTGTTTGAGCTAAAGTAGAATTTTGGGTTTTTTAATTTTGCTCAAGCATTTGTGGATGGTTACCTTATATTTTTGTGATGTCTTAACCAAAGGATCTAGGTGGGTTTAGCTTCATACATAGTTTTTCAAAAACCTAATCATAGATAGAATCATACTATTGTTGAAGCTACATTGATTAGCAAATTAGACTAGTGATTCTACATGTCATTTAGTTTTACTTTAGCACTTGTGTTCTGTCATCTACAGAAAATAGCACAAAGATATCAAAGGTTTTTATTTAGTTGAGTTAGATTCAAGTCTCATGTGTAAGAGTATCCAAATTTTTTTAAGGGATCATAGGATATTAAGAATAAAAAATGGTCACATGATAACAAAATGATTTATAACTAAATGACAGTGCCCTTTTTTAATTATGCCCGTCATATATATACATGTGTGTGTATGTATATGTGTGTGTGTGTGTATATATATAGGAAAAATGATGTTAGTTGTCAACTTGCCTGTCAAATGAAAACTCTAAAGAGACTACAGTACAGTTATTTCTTTATTTGAAATGCTTACTCCAACCAGTATATAATACAAAACAGTAATGCGAAATAAGTAAACCAAGTTCAGGTTAAATTGGAAAAGTGTTTTAATGATCATGAACCATTTGCAGTTCAGTTTTGCAGGTTCTTGCAATTCCTGCAAGTATCCATTGTAGCATGCATAGTAAATGAGCAGTGCCCAAAAGCAGCAAGATGGCAAGGACACACATTACTATGGTCACATTTTTTGTCCTTTTTCAAAGCATTACTGTGTTTGACATTGGCTGGTATTACTGTAGTGATTATGGGTTTCAGTACACCACTGCAGATTTTGTAACTGCATAATTATGGCTTGAGCTCAGGGTCCATAGTTAATCCATGTGTGTGACATTGTAGGTATGCTTGTTTAATCCTATTCATACAGGTCAGTCAATTTGACTGACTTTGTAATCATCAAGTAACAGTGAAACTATATACTAAAACTGAATGTAATAAGTGTATCTTCACAAATTTTGAAATTTTAGTAAACATTATAAGTCTGTTGAGTCAAAAAATCAGATGTTTTAATACAGTATTTTTTACTGAAGATTTGTCTGTGAGTTTACAAAGCTTCTACTGAGTCAGTCTGAGTGAAAGGTGATTTTTTCATACTACAATAAGAATACTTCTTTTCATGTTATAGTTTTATTTTATTTGCATAACCTCTAGAACTTTCTAAATGAATATCAAAAGTTTTTGTTGTTGTTAAAACTTTATTTTCTCTATTAACAATTATTTATTACAACAGCTTTAGCTCTCTAACCTTTTGACATCAGCTTTATTTTAGTTTTATTGTGGCACTTTGAACTATATTTGGTACTACCACAACCAGTATATTACCCAGAGGGAGATAAGTATAAAGTATCTGGTTACACCAGATGACATCTGTCTACACTATATGTTCATTAAGGAATTGAGGCTTTTTGCATTTTGCTGTATGGCTTAGTAAAACAAAATTCCTTACAGCTTGGAGCAGGGTCTTTTGTTTAAACACATCAAGTTCTGTCAGCTTATGGCCCTTGACCTCTAAAACAAAATGAACAATTGTCAGCTTTATGTATTTCAGAATATGCTATATATATTGATTATAAACATGTCCAATAGAAGTGTCAGAGAGAATACTGAGGATGTGGGAGGGGCATGTCATGTGGGTTGAACAAATATAATGGTATTTCAGTAAAGCAAGAACTTTAGAGATTGAAATTATATATTCAGGCTTGTCAATATTTATAGTATGTGTTTAATTGGTTGAACAATCCAAAGCTCTTATAAGGCAAGAGAAAAAAAAAATTATTTGTCAGTACACTACCATATCATGTGACTCATAGTTTGACATTTTTTTAACATTTCTTTTTGAAATCAAGCAGTTTGAACTTAGGTAATATTTTTATTTTAACTACATTTTGATGCAAAGTTTATTAACATACATTGATAATAAAGTAGTTTAAATTTTGAATGGAATTCTGTAAAAAACGTTGTGAAGTGCTCTTTTACTCTACTGTGTGCATAGGGTTAATATTTTAGTGTGGGATTCCATAATTGAAGAATAATGTGCAATCCTTTGGAAATTGATTGATCTGCATATGGTCATACTGCTTGATATAAATTGCATTACAAGTGAAGCCATCATGACCAAGAACACAGCAGATAAAAGTTTCTGCTTGAGAAAGTAATGTTTGGGAAAATTATTGTATGCCTGAAATCTATGTATTCTTCTGTTGAGAGTTGAGCTGACAATTCTGTGTCAAGTTTACCAGTTTTGTCATAACCAACAAGGGCATGAATAACTGATAAAAATATAACAAGTTCTGCTCCCATGAGAAACTTGTGCTCTTGAACAGGAAGTATCCATGGAGACTTTAATTCCACACAAAGTCCAGAATATTGAAGCATTTCTTGGTAATGAAAGATAGCACAGACAACATTCTGCAGTGCATTATGAGTATGCAACATTAGCTAATTATCAGCTTCATCATTTGATTGGAGAAGAAGGATGTTATCTCAGGCATTATTTTCTAGCCTAATGCACTTAAATGGTTCATCACAATGTCTGCCACCAAGATACTCAGGCACAGGAAACAAACAGAAGCAGTCTTTTTAACAGTTAAATGAAGTTTTGGCAATAGGGGCCCAGAATGTATCCATGCTGACAGGAAATGTAGCACTAGTTCCCTTGATTTTATGGAATCAGCCTTGTCACTTTGATGCCTTTCAAAAAACTCGATACTATATGTCTTCTCCAGATGAAAGATGATGGCAATTCTTAAATATGTAGCTGATATTCTTAGAAAATTTTCCCACAGGTGTGGTTATAGAAAAATTATGGATCACTGTGGCAGTATTTGAACAAGGTATTTTCTTACTAGCCTATGACTTCTCAATAAAAACCACTAGTGAAATTTAAATACTCAAACTTACACATGTGACTTATTACTGACTTTTGCATTAATCCTGTTGATCCCTTTGATAATCTGTAAACTTCAGTAAGATAGCATTTTACCCTTGTTTTCTCAGGAGAAAAGAAGTTACGACATTTTAACCTGATCAGATAACCTTTCTATTCCTGAGATCATCCTAGTAACCCTTCTCTGAACCCTTTCGAATAAGTCAATATGCTTTCTTAGATAAGGAGAACAAAAATGTTAACAGTATTTCAAGTGATGCTTAACTGGGTTTCATTTCCTCTTGATTTGTAATCAGTGTGTGTGTATAAATACACCCTAAAATTTTATTAGCTTTTCTTCTAGTAATAAGCACTGTTTTGATGTCTTTGAGTAACTTATTCACCCCAATGCCAAAATCTTTCAGTTACACAATTGAATATGTTTCCATCAATGTTAAATGTATCATACAAATTATAATAACCAAATAAGTTAATTCATAGTTAATATGTGTCAGTTAGGTAACACATATTCTTTCATCATCAAAATTTTTGCTGTGCTGGAATTACTTTTTTTCTCCTAAAACTTATGGAACTTTACAAGCTAATGTTCTAAACGGTTAAAAAAAATTATCACTTTTCTCATTGTTCATGCCCTCCAGTAACAATGTTGTGTGTTAAAGGTAGTATTTTTAGAAAAGTTAGGGATAAGTACCTCTTGTAATCAGTATGTCTGTAAACAAACCATAAAAATTATATCAGCTTTATTACTAATAACAGAACACTGCTTAAATGGGTTCAATCTGTTACAATAATTTCTAACACTGAAAGAATTAACCATTTAATAAAAAAAGGAGGATTTGTAAGGTCAGCGCCAAAAAAAATAATAGTTCATATTCAAGTAGTATCTCATTGAATTACATAGAATAGATTAATTTTTTGACACCAGTTTCATTAATGGTATCAATAGAAGATATGCTGTTATGTATAAAACAGCTTTTTGCATTTGCAAATAAGATGATTTTTAATTCATTTTACCATATTTGATCACTTGTAAGACCATTTCTTGTAGATTATGATTGTACTTGAATATTTCAACTTTTCTACAATATTTCTTGAAGCAGAAAGGAATCTATAACAAAAAAATTCAGGAATTTCTTTATATATCATGATACCAAATCAATTATTTTGATTGTTTGGATTAGTGTTTAAAAATACATATACATACAGTACTTTATGACATATCAGAATATCTAAACAATACAGATTGAAATATAGGGATCAGAGGTGAAGAAACCTATGTTAACATAATGAGGCAAAATAATTTAACACTGTAACTATAAGTGTGAATTCAGACTATTTAAGAAGTGTTTTCACAAAATTTATGGCTTTATTATTGTTGCATGTTCTGTAATGCATGAAATGAATTTCAATTCACCTATGGCATAAATACCACTGAATAATCACAATTTTATTACACATCTTAGTATATTTTTTCAGCTTATTTTTGTTGTTGAAGGTTGTAAGTTGTTAAATTTTCATTATCCTTATAAGTTTATTGTTGTTGCATAAAGTAGTTGTAAAGATATTTCAGTTTTCTAACCTGATTTCATTAAATGACCTGGATTTGGACCTGTGTATGCATTTGTGAGTTGCATCACATGTTCTTATGTTAGAAAAAGTTGTATTTAAACCTTACAGAAATCTAATTAAAATAAATATTTGTTTTATAGATATAAACAAAATCATATATCTTTTATTCAAAAAATTGTCGTTGTAGTTTTGTACCTTAAAAAATCCTAAATAATTTTAACTTTTGCTAATTGAATTTTATTGTAACAACAATACAAGCTTTTTTTTATTAAAAAACATATGACTATTTCAAATGGGATTAGAGGTCAAGTGGGTGAAAGAGAAAAAGGAACAGCTTTTAAATTTATATTTATTAACATAATGTTCAAGAACATTATAGGGAAGTATGGTGATGAACACAAGTGTCCAAAATATTTTAAGTTTTCAAAGAAAGGTTGAATATTTCAAATCAGAATGTGATTTGAATTTCAAAAATGCTAGTTTCAGAATAATATACCATTTAACTCTGAACAATTAACCACCACAAATTCAAAATAAAAAGATTGGCATTACAATCAACAAGAAAACATTTATCTTCTGTGCTGTCCTTTATAAACTCATCCCTGAGAAGAAAAACAAATTGTATATACTTTTGGTTGTTCTATGAAGTTGAAATGTAAGTAAGCCAGCTTTTAATGTGTTTTGATTTTTTTTTCTAGTATTTTACAATTTATAATAATATTTATTATACTTTTTTAAAATCTTTCTCAAAATATATATATTCCTAAAATTTGTTAATATGGTTAGAAATAGTAAGCTTATTGTGTGCTGGTGTGTCAATTAATGCAATAAATATATATATATTTTTATAGATTTGAAGTAGCTTAGTGTTGAGTAACACTGTCAAACCTGTTTCACTATGATGCAAGCATTAAGACCCAGAGACTCGCATCGAGGAAATTTAGGAGGATACCAACTCCAAGATGAAGATGATGATTCACAGCAAGTTACATCTTCAGCATTACAGGGAATCTCTCGAACAGCTGCAACACAGCAGCAGCGATTTTTTCACATGCCCAGATTTCAGACAAATTTTCAGAAGCAGCAGAACTATTTTAATGTCCAGCAGTTCAAGCAACATTTACAACAGATGCAAGGAATTGAGTTTGATGGGAAAAGACTTCGAAAAGCTGTTGCCAGAAAAACTGTAGATTATAATAGTTCTATTCTACAAGCAGTAGAGGTGAGTTGAAATGCAGGTTTTAACATTTTTAAAGATATTTCTGTAGCAAAACTTTTCTGCAGTGAATGATAGTAAGAATGATAAAGTGTTTCTTTTTATCTTATAATAGTGTATTTAGTTATGTTTGGACTGGAACTTAGGTATAAATTGATGTTATATATTAACGAATACATCAAAGATGAGAATTGTCTGACATTTGGCAGATTTCAGTCATTTCTAATGCTAAGTTAGCCATCCACCCAATTCATTAATGTCTGGTGAGAAAAATGTTGATGTGCTGGGGCTAGAGACAAGATACTTCTATTAATGGGTTTGGTTGGAGATTGACTTGGTTTGCTTTGATGTTTATGTTAAACCAAAATCAAAATGTGAGGCTCATTTTAACTGGCTGATTAATGAGCAGTTGAACTATTTTAAATCCTCTTTTGAAGCAGAAGGTATCCAAATTTCTCATGCAGCATCAGATGATCAAAAAGGATCAGTATAGAAGTAGGCTTTACATTTTTTGCCAACCACCTTAATCATGTGTGCTTTTCATCCATTTATTTATAGTGAATTAGAATAGACATTGTTCTTTCATCAGACATTGTTACAAATAAAAACATATTACAAACATCAAATTTCACAGATTCCAAAAATATTTTCAGTCTTATAAGTAATATTACCATTTTGAATCAATCCATAGAATCTGACAGTGGTTGTCCATGTGTGCCAACAAATTTGTATCATGCCTTTAGGGAGTTATTTACAAATGCTTAACTACTGTTTATTCCAAAACATATAGACCTCTGCTGACACTAATAGCTATTTCTCAATCTTCATCTTTGCCATCTAACATTGTGTTCGCTTGCTTCAGTCTTTATATACCCCACTGCCCTCAGCAATATCTAATTTGCAGAACTTTACGCTGGCCCTCACATGCCCTCTATGCAGGTACTGTATATAAGCACTGTATGCAGACAATAAAATCACTTTTTCTTGACAAAGCATGAGCATTCAGACTAACCTTTTGTGACTTACATTTTCTTTGTTTTCACTTTCTGATAATTGAGAATTCTTTGTTTCGTTATCCAGAGATATATTTCGTTAAATTTGTTTTTTGTTTTTTCCTGGGAAAAAAAAAATTGGATATGAGTTCCCGTGTAATGGTTTCAAGCAGTTATTGTTCTTTTGTCTTCTATGGTCCCTGTTGATTTCTTTTGGATCCCACTCAATGGCAAGTGTTGCCCAGTCAGGTATGCTTGTATTTAAATTCCGCACTAGCAATCTTTATATCGGTTCCTGGTTGCAATGGGCTTTGTCAAGACGAGGTGTTCCATAAGACCGTCTGGACACAATTCTGGATGGTGATATCATATTACAATATTTCTAATGGACCACTACCCATGGATTATCATGAGTGAAGGTAAAGGGGATTTTGCCAGCCCCTGCTGATCTTAGAGCTGAATCAGTCAAGATAAGTTTGCTTTTAAAAATTAGGGAACGTGGTTCACCTGTTGCACTGTCTCTGGAGACCTGTTCCTCAGGACTCCCGAACGCTTATGTTCTCTCCCTTACTTCTACTTGTGGAGCTCGGGAGTCCTTACCACTCCCAGTTCCTAGTTGCTGGGGTTGTGGACAGAGGATTTTCCTTCAGTGTTGAGTTTTCTCCACTCTCAGAGGAGAGGCCGAAAGAGACCCTCCTACCTGGGTCCCTGGAAGTTTTTCCCAGATATCGGTAGGAGCAGGACGAAACTCTGTGGGAGCCTACTCGTAAAACCATCCAGATTTGATGCTTAGCTCTCAGGTTTGGGGGGGGGGGTGCTTGGACCCTCTTTGAATGCTGTCAGGTCTTATGTTGTCCATGCAGGGGGTCCACTATCTCCTTGTAAATCTGAACACAATGTGGTCCCATCTTTGGTTCTAGGTAGGACAGTGTTCCACATCCTCTCCATAATTCCATGGTTAAGCAGAATTCTCCTTGCCCACATGGTGGGGGAGTAAAGACAACTGTTTGTAAATCCAGACTGGATGAGTTCTGGACTTTGGTGGAGTATGGCATATGGTCCTGTAAATCCAGACCTGGGATTTTGCCTTTTGGACTCTTCAGGTTGATCAGAAAGATTGTTTACTGCTTTCTTTCTTTCATAAATCTGGTGGTTTGAAGTGCATCATTCTGTGTTTACTGGTAGGGATCCTATCACAAAGATATATATATATATATATATATATATATATATCT